ATCCAAGTGCTTTGTTTCCTTCCACCAACATGGAAGATGTGGATGGAGTTCCTATTTCCTGGCTTTGGCCTGGCCAAGTCCTTGACATTGTGAACATCAAGAAGCCTGCAGATGAAAGCTCTCTGTCTCTCTTTTTCTCTCTCTCCCTGCCTCTCTTTCTCTGTGTGTGTGTTTCCCACTCTCCTCTGTCACTCTTCCTTTGAAAGAGATAAAGTTTTTTTCTTTTTTTTCCTGGTTTTTAAAAATATTTTTATTTTGAATTTCTGAATTATGTGGTACAATTTCATATAGACTGGGATTCTCCCCCAAACTTCCACACACCAACAGATGTTTCCCATTTTGCTACAATGGTGTAGTCCTTCGTAAGGAATCATAATTCCATCAGCATTACTCAATACCATGTCAATTAATTCCATAATGTTGTAAATTGCTGTTGATGTTATGTTGGGGCTTTTGATTGATCAGGATGATATTCTGCCAGCTCTAACTTCAGACCAGAGATGGTCTCCCCAAGAAACTGTTGAATTGATCTGAACAATAAGATGTTGGATTCTATGCATGGTACATGCTTGCAATGAAAGAATCATGACTGGATTTGAACTGTAATACTGCAACAAGGTGGAGGAACCCACCATGGAGGGAGGGCAAGGGGAGGGGTTGGGGGAATCCCAGGGCCTATGAAACTGTGTCACATAATGCAATGTAATTAATTAACAAAATATTAATTCTGAAAAAACAAACCATCATGTCCATTAGCATGGGAAATAAAGTTTATGAAACATTGTATAATGTGCTCAAAAAGCTTTTTTCTTAATAAAAAAAGATTTTAGTAACAGTTTTCAATGGTTTCTTTTGTTTTATTGGCACAATATAAGCAAAAGCGCTTTTTTGTCCCAAGTTCTATTATAACCTTAAAATTAGAAAGAATTATGCATTTCATCATTGAGCTGGCCTTGGTCACCTCAGTAAATGCCAGAAAGCAAAAGTAAAAAGATGATAACCTTCAGAGTCAATAACAGAAATGGTTGACACATTCAATTCCAAAAGTTAGAAACAAAGTGGGCTCTTAAACATGCTGCTGAATGAATGAGCGAATGATATATGTCTGTGCCTGGATTGTTCCTGACTGGCATTAGGATACTGTGCACCTGAGGCAGAAGATAGAAGCACATACATAAAAAGAGCATATACACATTCCTATGTTCAAGTAATTAAGCATTTCACTGAGTATATTTGCAAGAGGATAAACATATTTTTAAAAATTCTATAAGAGCAAAACTGGGGAAGAAATAACTACATGAATTGCAAAACAGTACATCTAGCCTCAAAGATGCTAATTCAGGTCCAGGGAGATCTAATCAACCTCTTTGTTGAAGTAAAGATAAAACTTTTTGACAGCAAATGCTATTCTGATAAAATGGAATTTTCAATTACTGCATGAACATCTGGTCCATGCTGCCATCCTGGAGCCCAGCAGCACACTGCTTTGCAATGTCACAAAATATTCTCCACTGAGAATGCCCTATTTTGCCAAGAGATTAATTGAAATAACTGTTTGGAAATTTAGTGAGGTGAGAGGTGAGTCAGGGGGACATGTTAGAGGATAAAGAAAAGAATGATCAGTCATTGACTCATAATTTCATTAAAAGGCTAGGGGAAATGAGATTATATATTGTTGGTTGAGTGTTAAAAGTGTAACTGCTTTGACATACCTGTGGTTGACACTGTACTACGCATAATATACAGTGTACAACATTTTCATGGCTAATTTGTAACAGCATTAGGCACAGATCAAATTTTTCAAATCCACATTTCATAGAGCAAACATGTTAAGTGCAATTCAGGTGATGAGAAGAGTAAATAAACAAGTGTAGCAAAATGCATAAGAATCTACATTTCTAGAAGGAAAGCAATCATTATATTGCATTCGGGTGCATTTGGATGTGAAAAGCAGATAAATGTTATTGCAAATATCTGTATATTGCCTCCATTTGGTATCAATTAGCACAGAAGGGAAACCAACTCAGCTTTATAGTAAACTCTAATTTGGGTGCATATTAGGGCAATTACAGTCATATTTTCAGTTGATTAATTTATAATCAATAATTAAAATAAGGAAAGAAATACTGGGTATGATTTAAGAGCAATTAGTTGGGTCAGGGACTAGTGTACACTAGTCCCATAAATTTCATTTTCCTATCAGGATTACATATTTAAGGAAGCATAATGGAATGGTCATGTCCTCCTAAACGGTCATTCAAAGGAGGAAAGAGGAACCAGAAGCCTATTAACCTTGGCATCACTCAATCTAGATAGGAGAGCAGAAAGCCCAGTGATATGCCAAATCATACACCAAATCCATGAGCTCTGATCACCCCATTGTTAATTACACATCTTAGAAATCATCCACAGAAATTAGATAAGGAAAAATTTAAAAACCTCACCAGACGGTGATAAGACTTCTCAAATCCAGACTACTGGTCAAGAGATTTGAGCGGTGCTCCCAATCTCAGCACCAAACCATCTCAGGAACCAAAAGCAGGTGGTAAAACCCCTGCACTTGTTCTCAACGCACTCTTCAGAGCCACTGAGAGACAGCACTAGAAAAAGTACAATATTCCAATAGGAATATTGTCTGGTGAACCATGACAATAAACCTAGGGGCAGACTGTTCTATATACATTTGGCCCAATTTTGGAGAGATTCTGGAAAGTACAAAACCCATATCAAGGTCAGAGTTAGCCTGACAAGTTCAAGATTAAGCATATATGGTAGCTTCACCAAGTGAGTGCCTTTTGATGAATGTTTCTTAGAATAAAATGAGATAAGCTTACTATCAGAGTACAGGTTTGATATAGTCGAGTGGTATAAATTTAACTGTTAGAACAGTTGTTGTCTTGTGAGCTGGAAGTAATCAACCCAAATGAAATAGTGACACAATGTGTATGGCAAGTCTGGAGTTGATTTGAGACACATAATTAAGTGTAACTACAGAAAGCATCAGAGGTAATGGGATATCACAAGGTAAAGCCTGAAGTGTAAGCAAGATCTAAATTCCCTTTGTACCTAAACTTCAATCACTCACTCAGGATGAAATTAATCAACCCAAGGATTGGTTCAAGGCTTAGTCGTTGCTGGAATAATGGGATAAAATGAAAATATATGCATTCCAATCAAATATTGTTAAACAAAATGTGAAGATGTTGCCACAATGCAACAGCAAAAAGTGTATTATGTGTGGAATCATGCAGAACTCGGTCACAGATTTGCCTTAAAATGCTGTCATTCTTATCCAATATGCATAGTACATATATGTACAAATATAAATAAATACACACAAGGATATATACATATTTCACAGTTGTGAGAACTACTCTCTTCTTAGAATAGGCTGATCCATCAGTATTGCTTTCCTAGAGAAATATGACAAACTTGAAGCAGATGTTGTTCAGGCCAGGCATAAAGTGAGAATCATTTATGACTATTTCATTTCCTGCAGTCATTTCAGTTTAGACAGCATCTAACTAAAACCCTCGCTAACATAAGGGAAAAAGTCTTAGAGACGCATGACTAGTAAATGATACGTGTCAGTGTGCATCCTGTAACACACTTCTAATCCTCTGAATTAAATTGCTTCTGTTTCAGCTATATAAATGTTTAATTTTTTTGTCCTTAGTCATAGTAAGGTTTCCCAGAAAGTATATTATCTCTGCAGATGTCACACTTCACCAATAAGGGAAGGCAGCAGTGCATAATTGGTAGTGACCTCTATATATTATAGACTTTGACAATCCACTCTGCTTGAGAGGTGGTGGATTAGACAATTTAATGGACTCTACAGTGACTAATTTTTTTTTCCATCAAAAACATTTCGTTTAGTGGATCATGCGTTTTTATCCTTTGGATTCATTTACCAAACCAAAACAAAAGCATTTAATGATGTTTACAGTGAAATGAAACAGCTGAAGACCAGCGCATAATCACCATATTTTGTTTTCTCTTCTTTATGTCTTTTAGCAGTAGGGCCTCCAGCTGAGCATGAGTCTAGCTTCTCTTAAGACATAGCCAAGCAGTCTGAAGCTTCGCTGAGCCTGAACACCAAGTTGAATTCATACTCCTTAATTGAAAAAGAAAGGTTGTTTGCAATATCATGGTTGCATCAGTAAAATATTGAAATCGACATTTGTACCCGAGTCCATCTGAACATTCTGCCTTAGTTGAATTCTGCAGTTTTCTGCACTGGTTTCTACTAGCATAGATTTAAATAGTGATTCTTGCTGAAGCATGTATGGCTGGGTTTACAAAAATAGGCTCTCCTCCACACTTGAGGATGCTGCTCCTGAGGGGCCACTTTGAGGTGCTCTGCCCATTAGTGAAATGTCTTACGTTGACTCAGCTGCCTTTCTTTCCCTAGTCTCCGCTATGACTAATGACATGATTTGTGTGACAGTTGTAGCGATTTCAAACAGTGGCCCTGTAAATAAAATGAGTGTTTCTTGCCTTAGCACACAATCTGTGGTCAAACAACCAAATCTCTCCAGATAAAGCCTGGCAGGAAAGTAACCCTTAGATTTCAATAGTGCTGCATTCTAGACAACTCAATTCATCAACTGAGTTCATATGCTAAAGCCAAAAGAGACATTTACTCCTGATGAGAAGGCATATGCTTGCTTCCTACGTACTTGGTGCAGTTATTATTGAAGAGTCTGCATGCAACGTGTATTTGCTGTCAGGTGTTAAAATGCTTTAACATGATACCATCCTAGGTGATCCACTCAGGGAGGGCAAAGAAGAATCTGACTAGGTGTCAGGATGTTTGAAAAGCCTGTAGGCAAAAAGATTTATATGATCTGAGGAGAAACCAGAGTGCAATGTAATTAATTAAAAAATGTTTAAATAAAACCTGTAGGCGCTGCTGAAGTGTGAGCTCAGCAGACATGTTGAAAAAGATACTTATTCTTTGGAATCCATTTTTGTGATTACATCCAATCAGCCCTTACCATGGTCAGGCATCTGAGATCCCATGGAAGTCACACTGGTATTCAGCACATCGTTGACAGCAGTATCACAATACAGGCTCCGCTGGACATCATGTTCACTGTCAGTCTGGTCACTCTCCTCATGTCCACTATCCTTCAGGCTGTTGCCCTCTAAGTCCTTGAAGGTTGAGCTGCTGGGTTGAAGAAAGAATAATAATTTACAACTGTAAGAGATCCGATTTAAAAAAAAGTCTGAGCCAGGATGATGTCAGCTCTGTGATGAGCCCAGCTAAGGCTGGATTGCCCAAAAGTGTAGAAATAAGGGGGGATGACATTTCTGTTTAAACATGATGGAATTTAACATTGCATAGAAAGTCTTACTACTGGATACTGATGTAGCTAATATTTTCATTCACTTATATACAATGCATCATTACAGACGCAGCAGAAGTACAAACCTAAAACAATCTCTAAAGAATTGCATCCTTTCAGAAGGATTTTCCAACTTTCCTTACAATCAAAGGAAAATTAGAACTAATGTTTACTGATGGATTACTATTCATAAGACACTGTTTGAAGTACTTAACATAATTAACTTTTTAAACCATCACAACTCTATAAGATAAAGGTGCTACTAATATTCATACTTAAAAATGAAAACACAAAGGTGCCTAGAATTTAAATAACTTGAGCAAGGTCATGCAGCTGGTTTCTACAAAACAGCAGACATAAGACAAAAGGCAGGTAGTTGATCTTCAGAGTTTGGAACCTTAACCACTACATATACTCCAAACATTGTATAACAAAACAAAACAAGAAGTGTCAGAAATCAGGGTAGTACCATTAAAATATAAAGGATTACCAAGACTGAAGAAACAGGTGAGTTTTAAGTCAGAAGGATAGATTGAAAAGAAAAGAAGGGAGGCAGGGACTGAGAAGAGGACAAACTTGAAAAATATGATGGTCACACATTGAAAATATGATGGTTAATTTGATGTGTCATTTTGGCAAGGCCACATGATGCCGCAACAGCAAATGGAACATCATTTTTGGGTATGTCTGTATGGGTATTTGCGGGAGATATTGGCATCTGAATCAATACACAAAGCAAAACATGTGCTCTCCCCTGCAAGGGTGTGCATCATTCCAATTCAAGGCCTAAACAGAACAAAAAGTAGAAGAATGTTGGAACTGCTCTCTGCATAACTGATTAAGGTAAGACATCAATCTTTTGACCTGTTATCTATATTATTAATTTTCTGGTTCTAAAGCCTTTAAACTACAGCAACAATGTTCCTAGTTCTCCAGCTTGTACAAGAGAGATCACAAGGTTTTTCAGCATCCAGAAACTTTTTTGATAATAAAGATGTGGCTATAGATACAGAGATAGCGATATATGTTGATACATTTATTGGTTCTGTTTCTCTGGAGAACCCCAACACATAAGATAAAATATGAGAACAAGAGAATGGGCACTAATAGAAGCGTGATTACAGTTACACTAAAAATATGTAAACCTGAGCCCAACATGCTAGCCTAGTGGCTAAATCCTCACCTTACATCCATCAGAATCTCATATGAGCATTGGTTTCTGTCCTGGCTGCTCTCCACTTCCCATCCAGCTCCCTGCTTACAGATTGGGAAAACAGCAGAAGATGGCCCAAAGCCTTAGGAATTTGAACCCACATGGGAGACCCAGAAGAAGTTCCTGGCTCCTAATTTCGGATCAGCTCAGCTCCTGGCCATTGCGACCACTTGGGGAGCGAAACAGTGGACAGAAAAGCTTTCTCTCTGTAAATCTTCCTTTCCAATAAAAATAAAATATCTTTTAAGAAGAGTATGTAAACTTTCAGTTCAAGAATTTGTGGATAATTTTTTTCTTGCATTTATTAAATCAATCCACCACATTATTATCTTACCTTCCGAGAACTCCACACCATTTCTTACAAAATAGAGAAAAACATATAGGGTACATCTATAGAGGACCTACCTGCTACTTCTAATACTTTGAATGTCCTGACTGAGTTTGCAGCTGTGCTTCACCATGGATCATAAATTATGTATCTGAAACACCTTGTGGGGGATGGTGCATCTATTCCCTTAGTCAGTGAGGAAGCCGCAAAGACATTCAAGAAAATATGTTGTTGTCTCAACAAGGGAGAGTGACACAATTGTGAATTAGGACGAGCTCCAACAGATCTACTGTGCCTCTGAAATGGGAGCCCTGTAGAGATGACAGCACAAACTCGCTTGATCTGCTCAATCTTCAACATTCACGGGGCTAGCTCTCTGAGACTTTGATAAGAACATTCTGTACATATAATGAAGAGCTATGCCATGGATACAATGGACACATTGTCATTCTCTGCACTTGGTCAAAACGAATCACAGCAGATTTTTAACATATGACAAACTTAGATAAAGAATGTTTGCTAACCTGAATGTAAAAAGGAAAAAGATCGAGAGGGCAGTAACTGGAAAGCCATAATTATAAGAAAATGAAGAGTAGGAGAGAGTGAAGCGTTGACCTGTTAGCTAATTATTTTCAGAAAGAATAACTCAGTATCAACTGAAGTAAAACTAAAATCTCTCAATAGGCCAGCTCACTCAGCTCCTTCAAATAATGTTGCACAAGTTACTTGACCCTATGAACTCAACCAGGACGCAATCCTATTAAAAAAATCATCCTATAGTTCTTCTATGGTCAAGAAGGCCAAATGCAAACACATGACTTAAAGCACTTCACCATTTCTAATTGTACAGCACAGATTCTGGGACTTTTTAACAAATTCTAATCCCACAGTTGAAATAAATGCATTTGTCCTGAAAAAGTTGGGCCCTACCTATAAGCATCCATAAATCTCATGATAGAGGAAATAATCTCCCTGGTTGGTGGTACAGGCTCTTCCATTTTCATAGGAAACATCAATTTTCTACCTGTATATCTAGTTTCTGATACATACAACTTTTTTAATCCATGACAGAAAAGTGTCACTTTTAGGCAGACAATTTAATTCTGAATTGACTTCATTCCCATTGCTACCAATATTTGCTTGATACACATGATAGTTAAGGGTTACAGTCTAAGCAATATATTTAAGCATCCTTACAGTAGGGCTTCCCAACCTTCACATTGTTGATTGTTTCAATGACATAATTATTTGTTGTGGCTGTCCTTGGTGTATTGTAAGATGTTTAGCAGCATCCTTGGCTTCTACACATTAGATACCAGTAATCATCCCCACCCAGGGGGTAACAATGACAAGCCTTCTGTGAGATACTGCCAAATAATGCTCAGTTGAACATAACTGCTCTAGGGTCTCTAAACTCTATTCCTGAAACAGACTATAATGGAGAAAGCACAGAATTTCGAGTTATTAGGACAAGTGATGACCTGTAACCCTGCTTCAGGTATCTTACCATGTTGCTAATATCTAATGTCTTTATGAGCCTCAATTTCCTTGTCTATGAAACTCATTTGCTAGAATTTCCTTCACAAGACCATTTTGTGGGTTCAATGGGGCACTACACTAGAAGTATCAAATACACATCAAAACTCAATAAATGGTCATGCTTTAATATTATTATTATTATGTATAGCAAAGCCTTCGCTGAATTACAATTAAATATTATGTCATGGTCTTCGGTAGGACTGACATAAGAAATTTAGATATAAATTACATATATTCTGTATCTTCTGTTAATAATAGACATTGCCCACTATGTTCATTTCTACTAAAATTAAAGAACAAGAAGAAATGACAAAAAAAAGTTGTCTTGTCAAATGTGTATCCTTCCTTTATTGGACAGCTATTCGACTTCATGTATTTACCAGTTTGTCTTGGTTACCCAAGACTTTCAAAGTGCACATGATGTTTAACTGAAGAGTTACTTGTCTGGATGCCACAGACATCTAGCTGGTTTCTCCTAATTGTTTCTGGAGATGAATTTTTAAATTGTGTTCATCAAATGCATATGCATATGTAAGCCCTAGAGCTTTTATATCTTAGGTATAAGGAATAGAAACAATGAAACAGTAAAGGATCAGAGCTGGCTGGTACCACAAGCACAGCACAAGTTATCAGAAGCAAAAGCAAGAGTTATGACACTCCACAACGCCAAGCCTGGAATAGCTAACTCATTTTAAAAATCAGTTTCCCCATCTGAGAAACTAACTGCCACTTACTCTGATCCTGTAAGGACATTTAGTGTTTTAATGAATAGATTTGTGGAAAGCATTTTAAGACCAATGAACAAGATGCTTCAAATTGTAAAATAGCCTGTAAATGGCCACTCACCCCAAACAAATAACAATGTATGCCAAGCATAAAAAATGCTTATTTCGCTTGCTTTATTACCTATGTGCTCCTGGGAGATGAAAAACTTGCGAAACAACTTTTGTGGGGCAATAAATCATAGGTACCCTATTTGTAATGATACTGTAAATACAAATGCTAATATCACTGAGCTTATGACAATTGAGGGACGGGTGTATTTGGAAGCATCTAGAACAGGGAAGCTCCGCACCCAACAGCTATTCAGAAAATGCATGATGAATAAACATGCACTTCTGAGCCATATCCGTCCTTAAAATATTGGAACTATTTTTCCAAAACAAAGAATTTGAAACTGGCCATATTATCCTATCAAGTGATACCACATAGGCAGGGGATGCCATCTCACAGTGAGAAACAGGAGCAAATAAGAGTAAAAAGATTATCGTAACTGTACAAGGAGATTTAAGAAGTTCATGAAAACAGACTTACCCGATAAGCTTTTTTTGGTGTAAGAAAATTTGGAAACCTGTCTAGTTTTTCTTTATAATATGCATCTTTTTTAGAATATGTAAAAATTTATAAGACCCCTTGTATTTAAAGAACACGGGAAGATCCTCTAGGAGTTAATGACCAACCTGTATCATAGTCCCCTTTGAAACTGATCAAAATGGGGATTCAGCAGGAGTGCAGCTAGAAACTCTGCATTTACCAAACCTCCCAGGGGATTCCAGTGCACATTCAAGTTCAGAAATCGCTGACTTAACGGGAAGTTTAGTGCTAATGATTTTAATGGAAAATGCTGATGTCTCATTCACCTTCCATTCATTCACTCTGGAACAGGGACGAAGCACTTACAATATACAACAAGGTACCATATGAGGTGCGACAAAACCCCAGGACACTTTCGGAGGAAAAGAAAAACACTATGTGTGTGGATGGTTGAGAAGACAATACTCATTTATCTTTTCACACCACTTCAGTGCCTTGTTCATTTCTACTATATTTTCTTTGAGTTACATTACAGCCTCATGCCCTGCTTGATATTGCTCCAAAAGCACCGCAGGAGTGTATATCAGACAGCAGTACAGAAGCAGGCATGAGTGACGAGAGCGCTGTAGCAGGGGTAAAGCACCACCACTGGTTTTCCTTGTTCTGAGAAGACAGCAAGCAAACAAGCATAGCAGGAAGGAAATTCCACCAGAAAAATTGCCAAACAGTTCTGGTGAGTTAATCTGGGACTCGCACCTGAACATCTTTGGGTATACCTACATGTTGCAGGTGATGGTCTGGAGGGAAAAAAAAAACACAGAAATATGAGGGTACTTAAGTTCATGGGAAGTCAGAATTAAAAGATTCGATTTTGGTGCAAGAAAGCCTCTCTTTTTTTGGAATTTTTTAGTGTTTTCACAAATACATTTTCCATGAACTTTTTGAAATAGGTTCATATAATCCTGGATTCCCCCATGCTGAAAATCGTTCAGCTCATGTCACATATCTTCTTCTTTCGTTCCATATCGACTCTTCACACTTCTGAATTTTAATTTACAGCTATGAGAACGTCTCTGCCCTCCAACTTTCTGTTGGCTTTGGCCAAGGAAGGCCACCAACAGTAGATCAGTGATTACAAAGAGAGTGATGTTAGAGTACTAACTCTACCTACTGCTTGCCTGCACAGTCTCCTCCTTAGGAGACTATAGTTCTCAACAGACCAGCAGTCACCGCAACTCTGAAGTCAATGCTCTCTACATACTCTCTCGCTTAGTCTTTTCAGAATGAAGTGCAGTCTCTTGGCCATTCTTAACGGCAGCATTTCATGTAGTTCACTAGCCTTGCCCAAGCCTCTGAAAATACTCCCTTTGCAAATAAATCTTCCTCGTGTCATTCTAATTTGAATGCACTGGCTGATTCTTGTACAAGTCCACGCTGCTGCAGGGAAGAGCTACAGGTGGACAGTGCCAGCTGCTGATCAACTACCTGAAGTAAGACAGATGTGAAAAAGGAAATGAGACCTGCATATAAACAATGTGGCCAAGAAAGCTAATCACTGAAGAATGCCAAAAAGAAGGATTCCAATAAATATCCCTAGAAGTGAATAGAAAAAAGAGCAAATGCATTGGAAAGCACATTCTCAAAGTTGGCCTGGGATTGGACTGTTAGTATAAAAAAACAGGGATTTGGTGGTAAAATTAAAACTAATAATCAGCTTTATAACTTACTTCCAGGAGCTTTTTCTATGAGTGTCAACCACATAAAAACCCCGTTTCAAACATCACTAAGAGCTACTTGAACACATTTTACATGGTTTTATCCCCTGGCGTTAGTCATCGCTCTTTTAAAATTCTCCTCACATTTTACAATTAAAATTGTTAGCCCCCATAAAAGCATATCACAAATAATTTTTCCCTATTGTTTTAGGTCCTGAGCTTTGTCCAAACTCAGCTGACCCCATCAATCCTAATGTCATCTCAGTTTTCCAAAACTTTTATAGTTTCATAAAGGGAATCTGAAAAAAAAAATTGTGTTCTTGAGCTTTTATCTGTTTTTTTCTTAATCAAGGTGATTCTGAGTAAAAACTACTATCTGTAATTTCCAGCAACATCAGCATACTTCTCCACCATGGGCCTGTTATGTCATGGCTGTATCCATTATATGCATATACATGTAGACAAACACATATGTAACATAATTAATGAAAATGAGAGGTTCTTGGTGAGTCCCAAAGCTGCTGTGGAGATACATGTATCCCAAAAGCTAAACATTTAAACAGAAGTTTCCAACTCATCAGTGTATTCTGCACATTAGATGTTGCGAGTTAACCTAGAGCATGAGGTTCCCAGGAGTCTTAGCTTTCTGCCAGAAGATGAAAATCTGGCTCATGCTATCAGTTTAACCTGGTCATGAAATTCCCAGGTACCCAAAGCTAGCTAGCCCAAGGGGCCTGCGAGGACAAGGCAAATCATTCTTTTTACCACAAACTTTAAAAAGAAGCTTTGAGACTAACGAGGCTAAAGCAGAAAATAAAGCAGGTTTCTGCCACAAGGCTAAGCAATACATAGAAAAGATTTTTAATCTTCCTAAAACAAATTAGTCATATAATTTTGAATTTGACCTTTGCTTTTTTCCATAAGCCAAGAAAATATTCTGAAAAGATTCTTCTCAACCCCTCAGAAAAATTCTAAACTATCCTGTGACTGGTGATAGAGAGCTATCCATTTTTTAGATGACTAACAATCATGACGAAGGTCACAAGCAATCCCAGACCAATACAGAATAATATAACACATTGTCAGTGTTTTACTGCTGCGTTGTGAATTAAATTAGATATGAATTACATTGCTTGTACAGCAAGCTAGTTTATTCCTTGAATCCTACTCTTCCGGTGATATAAATTTATGGGATTAGAGCTAGCAAAATAATAGAATTTCCAGGTTTTCTCCACTACAGCTCTTACATACTTTGCTTACCTCTCCCTTTACTCTTATTTCAGCAAACACACTCAGTATTCAATTTTAGCTGCAGAATAACCAGTGGCCCATTCAAAAGTTTCTTCACATGAAGCAATAATAAAGTCATCATCTGACTGGTCAGTATTGGGGTTTTATCACAAGAAATTTTCTTCTTTGCTAGTTCTTTCTCCCTAGAGATCCTCCTGAACCCCTTGTTTCTCTTCCATTTGGGTAACTTTAGTACTCACAGCACCAGATGGAATCTCCCATGTTGGAACTCAGCTCTGTAGTCCAATACACTGTGATTCTATTCATAACTAAATCATGATCAACTACTCATGCAAATATTAACTTTCAATTGATTTGCTTGAAATATTAGAATTAGCAAGTGTTGAATTAAGCAAATATCTTTTCTATTTCTGTCCTACCCATAAGCATTTTTTAAAAACAAAGGATTCATCTGCCGTTAAAAATCTCTTCAAATAATTTCAAACTCGTCAGAATAAAAACTATCACAAAACACACTGAAAATTCCTCATGAGAAAACATTTTTAGACTTCCCTCTCCCTGAAGTGGATAGGAACAGGAATTTTTATACCCACATGATTTTGAAAACTTTCTAATTTCTTTGAATGTTAAATTCTAATCCATAATGCAGAATTCTTTTGTACTATGATCCTACTTTGAGTTTAATTGTGCATGTATGTATTTTAATGAAAAAGAAGTATAACGAAATGTCCATAGTGATTACCACTGAGTGAAGGAAATAACAGAAACGTTAATTTTTGTGCTTTTCTGAATCTTCTCAATTTCTATGATAAGCAACAAGTCATTCAGCTTCAAATCAGAAACAACATAGTTTAAAATCTTTCAAGCTTGTTTTGTCCTTTATAACAAATCAAGCTCAGTTTTAGAAATAGGCAAATAAATCAACATACCTTTTGATTAAATGGGCGCGGCTGTTCACGTAGTTGGAGTCAAAAGAGTAGTTTTCAGTCTGCAATGAGAAAAAAAAAGATTTAAAAGATTACATAGATAACAGATCAAAAAAAAAATCAAAATGTCCCACATAAAAGAAAGTTTTTTTTTCTTTTGATTTGAAAGGAGAGAGAGATATTACTGTTCCACTAGTTCACTTCCCAGGTGCCCACAACTGCCAGGGTTAAACCCAGATCAAAGTCAGGAGCCAGGAACTTAATCCAATCCTCGGATGTAAGCGTCAGGAACTCATTTACTTAATCCATAACCACTGCATACCAAGATTTGCATTGGCAGGGAATTGGAGTCAGGAGCAAGACCAGGAATCCAACCCAGGCTCTACAATGAGGGATGCAGGCACCTTAAGTATTAGGCTAAATGCCCACTCCTAGTAATTATTGTGCATGAAACAATGAATAATGCAGAAACTAAAGCTATAGGAAGGCAGCAGCCCAATGAACCCCCTGCCTCCTTGGGGGCTCTGGGGTCTCCATGGAGACAGCTGTTCACCCCTTCATATTAGGAGAAGGTTGACACAAATAGTCTCTAAAATATGGCTGGCTACTGACCATGCAACCACTTACACAAAAGAGAAAACATGACACACAATCATTACTGAAACTCATTGCTTCTCATTCCCCAGTGGAAACAATTCTATGCCCATCAAATTGGCTGGAAGTTCAAAGGTAATTTTATTAGTAGTAGATAATTAACATGTTAAAATATTTATTCCAAAGATATGGAAATGCAGGCAAGGTAATCCCCCACTGTGGATTTAAACCACATCTCCCTTTGTTTTAAGACATTTGCTCAGCAATGGTTATGCAGGAAGGTCTTCGTTTTATCACAGATTTATAAAAGCAAGTAAGTATTATGCCTAAAACAGGGTGAAGGGCAGTCCACAGGGGGTGCCAAAGCCTTTCATGTGAAACATGAAGTTTGCAAGCAAACCCCTGTCTCAGCTCCTATCATTAAAACACCATCGTCTAATCTGGTTACAGTAGACTGCTGGAGCAACGGCTTTATAAAAGCAAATACATAATACCCGCCAGATGAAAGAGATGGGAAACTAACTTATGAGCACTCAGAGGTGAGGGGATTCAAAGAGGACAGCAAAGGGGGCAAAAGCCACAGAAGAGTAGACACTAAAGTAACTGCGAAGTGAACCTTACCCCCCAACGTTGAAGTACTACTCTTGTTAAACCACTGCATGAACTGAAAAACAGCCAAACCCACTTCCTCCACCCTTCTGCCCTTCCACCAAAAATCACCACCATTTCTATGGGGCTTTCGGCTATCACTGCACCTGAGAATGTTTAGAAAAAGAAAACTCAGTAGCTGCCCAGCAAACAAAAGGATGTGTTCCTTTTGGAAGACTACCTGTCAGATGTTTCCTGTTCTGGGCTTTTAGATGTAGCCCTTGTTTTAAAGAGCTCAGTTGTAAAAGAGGAGAAAATGAGACAGGTAATTGCAGATCCAGCTGTCACATGGACACCAACCGTGGGTAAAAGAACTGAAATGCCTAGAGCAATAGGAAGGTGGGAGTGGTGAAGAGGTTGGAGAAAGTAAGCACAAACAGCACAAAGGAAACTAAATCACAGCACTGTCCTGTACTTACTCAGCCATGTCCAGGCCTCCCCACAATCTCATGCTTGGAAAATAGTCTGTATGATAGCCACGCACACTGCTTTTATCTAGAAACTTACATCCTCGTTAATGTAAACTACAAATAATCCTTGGCACTATCCACACACATGGCTTGGGAGAGCAGAAATCCAATGCTCGGTTCAATTTTAACTCATTGCTAAGAAAATGAACGCTGATACGGAGAGGGGAGGAGGAAAAAGGATTGAGTGATGGAAGCTGGGTTGTAGCTAGACGGAAATAAGAAGTTCTGAGGTACTATTTCACAGTAGAGTGACTATAGTAATGCTAACATACAGCATATTTCTCTACTTAAAATAAGAGATGGGATTTTAGATGTTTTCACTGAAAAGCAATGTTAAATGCTTCAAAGGATAACTATATTTACCCTGAATGGACATTACATAGTGTCCATTAGAAATGCAGTAAAACAGGCCCAGCAGGATAGCATAATGGCTAAGGTCCTCGCCTTCAATGCGCCAGGATCCTATATGGGTGCCAGTTCTAATCCCGGCAGCTCCACTTCCCTGCCTGTGGCCTGGGAAAGCAGTCTAGGACGGCCCAAAGCCTTGGGACCCTGCACCTGCATGGGAGACCCAGAAAGAAGCTCCTGGATCCTGGCTTCAGATCAGTGCAGCACCGGCCATTGCAGCCATTGGGGAGTGAATCATCGGACGGAAATCTTCCTCTCTGTCTCTCCTCCTCTCTGTACAGAAATGCAGTAAAACATCACACTATACCTCCAAACTATGTATTATTTTATGCCTATTAAAATATCTTTAATTGTATAAAATAAAATTAATACTGATATTGTTATGAACATAATTATGAACATAATTACAGCAGGAGAAGGTCTCTGTTGGGAATGCAATCTAAGTATTTGCTGGAAGAAGTCATCCATTAATGTACCAACAAAAATTTTGTGGTTTAATTTGCAGTACCAACATAATAGATGAAAATAGTTTAAATGTGCTCTTCTATGGTATTCAATGCAATTTATAAAAAAGTGGAAATCCAAGGCCAGTGCCTGGCATCGCAGACTATTCCTTCACCCTTTGGCACCAGCATCTCAGATGGGCATGAATTCATGTCCTGGTTGTTCCACTTTCCATCCAGCTCCCTGCTTTTGGCCTGGGAAAGCAGCAGAGGATGGCCCAAAGCCTTAGGACACTGCACCCATGTGAGAGACCTCGAAGAAGCTCCTGGCTGCTGAGTTTGGATCAGCTCAGCTCCAGACATTGTGGCCATACGGGGAGTGGACCAGCGATGGAAGACCACTCTATATCTCCTTCCCTCTCTGTAAAATCTGCCTTTCAAATAATAATTTTAAAATCTTCTGTACCCCTGGGATAATACTATCCTATTAAAAGAGAATTGATTATGAGCTTGGCAGTTCAGTTTATGACTTGTGTAACCTTGGACAAATTGTTTGGTCTCTGCATGCCTCAGTTTTGTCATCTGTAAAACAGGGATAATAGTGAATTTAAGGAATACTTTTAATTCCATGTAGCATGATGCATGGTGGGAACAGTGGGGATCCTTTTCTCCTGTGTTTCACAGAACCTGAAACCCAAATTATGGCCTAGAATTTGACTGCATTCATGCATCAAAACAATAGAACATGTATGTTTCATCACAGTCTCCAAAATTAGAAAACTTTTTTTTTTCTACAAAAAAAGTAAACAGGCCTTGCTTTGTGGCATAGCAAGTAAAAGCTGCTACTTGCAACACCAGCATCCAATTATAAGCCCAGGTCCAAGCCCTGCCTGGCTGCTCCACTTCCTTCCCAGTTCCCTGTTAATGGCCTGGGAAAACAGTAGAAGATGGCCCAAGTCCTTGGGCCTTTGCACTGACATGGGAGCTCCAGAAGTTCTTGGACCTTAGCTTCAGATTGTTCCAGCTTGAGCCACCACAGTCATTCCGGGAGTAAATAAGGGGATAGAGGATCTCTGTGTGTCGATTTCTTTCTCACTGTAACTCTGCCTTTTAAACAAACACTATGAAAAAGTAAACTGATCATTTTTTAAAAAAAGTCTTGGCCTTCAAATATAAACATTCCATTCTCCAAATCATCAGCACACAGCATAATGGACAAACATCCCAAGCTGTATTCTAATGCAATTACAAGTCTCATTAGTGAGGCAGGTTCCTAGAACCAATTTTCCCAGAGTAGATGGAGCTATTCTGACTCACCCATTTTCTTTTGCCTTTGTAATCAGTCTCAGCTTGGTTATCAGGCAGCTTGGTTGCACTTACAGGAACAACCTATGCACTACAATCATTCTAATTGGATACAATACACTATTCTCAACTCATTAGTCCTACATCTTAAACAACCGAATTAACCAGTCATTGGTGCTCTATTATATGATAGATGTACGTGTATTGGCATCAAGTATTTTAACTCATTTGTTTTCCAAAATATGCACTTAAATTCACATTCTGTGTGACATAAGAGTAAATTTTTTTCTCATTTATGCTGGAATAAGGAATGAGACTCAGACTACCCCCAGAGAAGGAAATAATGTTTTCTTAGTAAATAGTTTACATGTGTTAAGCCAGTATTCCCCAATCTAAAATGCTTGTTAAAATCATCTCAGAAACTCCTGTAAAAAAAAAATACTGTCACCAAGGACACACTCCAAGAGATTCTGAGGTAATTGACCTGAAGTAGGGCCCAAGCATTGGCTTAAAATAAGAGTTTCCCAGATTTTAATGTACCTCCAGGGTAGTGAACAACTGTTGTGATCAATAACCTAGTCCGCTATACTGTATTCCTTTCTTTTTTAAAAAAAAAAAATGCATTTATTTATTTGAGTGTCAGGATTACAGAGACAAGGAGAAAGGAAGAAACAGAGACCTTCCATCTGATGGTTCACTCCCCAAATGCCCAAAATGGCCAGGGCTATTCCAGATTGAAGCCAGGAACCATAAGATTTATCTAAGTCTGCAACACAAGTGGCAGGGTCCAAGCTTGTGGTCCATCTCCTTCTGCTTTCCCAAGGCAATTAACAGGACGATGGACCAAAAGTAGAGAAGCTGAACTCAAACCAGCACCCATATGGGATAACAGCATTGCAGGCAGTATGGTGGCAATGTGCTGTTTTCTGATGCAAATTCCAGCTGTTTGGAAGGCATGTTTTAATGCAGACTTTAAAAAGAGAAAAGAAAATGGACCATCCAAGATAAAGACCCAAAGAAGGAATGTTGGTTTATAAAAAATAGCAGCTTTCTTTTTGCATGAATGTATTTGCTCCTGATTAGCCTTATTTTTTAAAAATATTAGTTATGTTGTGTTTGAAAAGCAGAATTACAGAGAAGGAGAGATACATAGAAAGAGAGACATCATCCATCCACTATACTCCCCAAATGGTC